GTCGTGGGGTGTGTAAACACAGTACAATGCAGTGTGGTACGGTTACCAGATCAGCCTCTAAATGAGCTGCTTTGCCTAGACCGTCCACCAAAACCATGTCATTTGTGGACCTTGAAGCTGTACAGTTGTATTCTTACAGCACAGTCCTGGTTGACATCCATCCTGGCTGCTTAAAGCAGAACTTAAAGCTCTGCACCCACTCAGATGCTTCCAGGACCTGACTTTGTATTACTGTGCTGTGCCACAGAGATAAAACAGCTTGGTCAATGTTAACACCTGTGTCTCTAGTTCCCTGTAGGTACTTGTCTTGACTTGATCTGTCATATATGCCCTTGGTTCCTACTGCTTCTCTAGCCATTTTTAGAAGAGCAAAAATTCTAGTATATTTAAACATTCAAGCATAACTTAAAGGTATCACTGGGAAAGTTGCAGTTACTCTAAGGGAGGGAAGAGAAAAAGCAAGGGCATTGCCAGTGTTTTGAAAATACAGGATACGTTTAACTGTCTTTTGAGTTCATTTTTCTCGAGGGGTTAGGGTTCTATTAGGTCTAGTCACAATAACAAAATAACATATTTGGGGGGTAGCAGCATCCAGAGAAATCAAGAAACTGTGATCTCTGAAATGTGGAAAAATTTCCTTGTAGAACCTTGTTAGAAACTTTTATTTATAAAAGAATGATATTGTTAGAAATTCTTCCTTATAATGATATTGCTAGCTTTACAATGCATTTGTAACCTTGAGTCACTAATGTAATTTGCAAATGTATGTGATTAATTGTTTAGCAGCTCTCAAAAAAAAAAAAAAAAAAAAAGGGAAAATTAAATCAGCAACTCCATGCAAAACCATGTTCCAAGACAAAAAAAAGTACTTAACTGGAAATAAACAGGTGTCTGGGATGGCTTGCAGGAGTGGCCCCCTCATAATAGATCAAATTTGTTTTTCTTATCTTTCAGTGTTGTTGCAATGATTAATTTTGCCATCATTTTTCTATTTTTATGCATCCCTAATAGATAGCCTTGTTCCATTCATTATATATTCTTAAGGAAAAAGATGATGCAGTTCAATGGCACCCTCATTTAGATCAGGAAACAGCCCATTAGAATTGCCATAAAGCAAAAGGTACAATATTTTTACATGTGTGTATATACCTACATGCCTATGTATATTCATTCCCATCTAAGTAGGATTAATGTTTCTTGGCTTTTCATATTTATATAACCTAAGGGAGATTAACATACATTTATAGAAAATATCAAGATATATTATTAAAAGACATATTAACATTGTGGCTGTGCTTTTTAGCTCCAGTGAGAAAGCAAGCATTCCTTTCCTGATGGTTCCACAATTGCCAGGTTTCACAACTTCACAACTATTTTCTTATGGCTTTCTTCACTGGAAGTCTTCTAGTGCTCTGCATCTTATTGGAAACCATTTGACTCTACAGAAGGTCCCTCTGCTAATTTGTTGTAGCTAAATTCTGTCTTAATGTGCTGGAACAGCAGGCAGACCAGCCAGCTTTTTTGTTTTATTTTCATCTGCTTTATAATTCATACCATGAGACTGCTGTATTCTCAAATCTGACCCCAGGGACTCTGGTTGCAATATCCTCGCATCTTTGGCAATATCTCTCTGCTCCCCCTTGGAATATTCTAACACTAGAAATGGTATCACGTATCCGTGCCTACTAGATCATAACAATTGATGGTATTTAGCTTTGTTCCAATTTAGATAACAAAATCATCTTTTCCCAAGGAATGAAGACGTCGCAGTCTTTCCCTGTGCCTAGGACATGAGTTAGCAGCTGGAATGCTGGAGTCAGCGTTTCATTCCATGAGAGTGAATAGCATCAGACCTCCAGAGATTTCTTAACTGACCTTCAAAACACAAAGTCTAGCTTCCAGCAAACTCAAAGTAAACATATTTCTCTAGAGATTAGGATCAAAGCACAAGAAAAACATTCTACTTAACTACGTGGTGCTTGTACCATTACTTACTTATTGGATCAAGAGTAAGCTGTGCTGGGGGAGATGAGACTCACTTTTTTTGTTGCATTGTCTAATGGTAAAAGTAGTTCACAAAGGTTACCCAAACTTTTCCAAAAGATTTGCAAAAATCATCATTCTTTTTCATACCATCGCTGTTTCATTCCCAAATATGGTTTTATATCATTGTGGTCAAACCCTGAAGACTTTCTCTGAAACAAAGCCTTGGGTGACTGGAGCACTTTACTAGAGGAGCAGCTCAATGACACCCCCACGCTTTGACTCCGGTCTTGGATGTACACTTTCAATGTTCTCAAGCAACCACTGTCATCTGTAAAACAGGAGTAATGGCAATAGGTTTTTAGGAGAACTACACTGCAAATTCAGAAGTTGTGGAGTATTACAACAGCAGGTCTTGTATGTGTACATAACCAAGGCTTCCTGGAACAGATTGGCTTCCTGGGAAGAAAAAAAAAAAAAACCAAGAAAACAACTTATTGAAGAAAATTGTTGGGTATGCAGAGTTTTCAGTACCTTAAAAACCTGTCGCCATTCATTAGAATGAAAAAACAGAGATGTAGCTGCAGATATCTGAAGCTATTTGTTGGTTAGCTTTGTACAGCAAAAAGCACTGTAAGTAACAGATAAGCTCTTCATGCATTCCCTGTTAGGATTTTCCTGTCACCACTTTTAGGCTGAGACAAAACTCTGTCAGGAAGCCGGGGTACTGATTCAGCAGGCAGGAAATCAGAAAGGTAGTCTACTCAGGGTTATCCTCAGAGGCAGTTCATAACTCTAACTCCCACAAAAAAAAGGAAATGAAAATTCCTCTGAAACCCAGTTTCAAGCCTGTCCAATGACCTTGAATATGGAGCCCAGTTAACCACAAACATTCCTTGATTGTCTCCCTAGCCACCAGTTTATACTGCTTCCCCAATATAGAAAATGAGCAAAACTTAACCTTGATTTTGGTGAAGACCTTGTAGTGATCGTGCACTGCATTACTCGTCTGTGTCTGGTTTTATATGTCATGTTGTGTAAATGTACAAGCTGATGGATGTCATTTTCTCATATACATGGGTTCATTCATTTCACTTTCAAATCTCTGATCTTAAGGAAATGGAAGTCCAGATTCAAGCCCTGTTATACTATTATTCAAAGGATATCACATAAAACAAATCTGTAATATTTTTAAGCAAGCATGTTTCCCACTGATCTGAGTTACAGATTATTTGACTTCCTTACTATACCCTGTCTTGGCTAGCACAAAGATTTAGGGCAGTCAGAAACACAGTAAATCAATTCAACTCAAAAGATTTTCAATTTACAGGAACAAGTTTTCCATAGCTTATGCCAAACGATCAAGTCATTACTTTTGGTCTGAGATAAGCATTATAGCCTCTCTCCCTGCCCCCTTTTCACTGTCTTACTATTATCCCTCCAGGAATAGATTAATAAATGCTTGACCTTATGCATTGGTGCCAGCAGAGACCTGCCGTAATTGTTCTTTCTTACAGTTCAAACAATCATATTGGATTATATCTCACAAAATAGAAACCTGGAAAAAGATGAAATACCTTTTTAAAACTGAACCGCGGGTATAAGACAGGCAGTGAGTGTATGAAAACAAGTATGAGGGAGTAATTCTAAATGGACTAGATGTAAGCTCTGTGATGGCAAGTACTCCCTCAAATCTTGTTCTTCATATGCTTCTCTTTCTTACTCTCAGACTTTGCACCTGGTTAAGATAAACCAATTTGCACTGTTAGTCAAAGTGCAAAGATTTCAGCTGCCAAAAGTCATTGATATGTAAATATTTCAGGAGAACTTCCCTGGTTGTTCTCAAATCCTCTAAAATTTATGATTGCTGGCACTGACTACAACACTCAATGAGTTTAATGAAGAGTGCAATCCAATGAGTCCAACAGATGTTTCTGGGTTTGCTTCACTGGGAACTTTCTGGATTCTTCTTCCTTCATTCCCAGGAATCAAGACCCAATTTTAGCCAAGTGCTGATGATCCAACCAGCAACAAGATGACTGAAATAAGTCTTCATCTCCACAATCCTTAAAACATTCAGCATTGCAGATCTATAAGCAGCTGAGGTTTGGATGCTTATCCAAGCCTCTTTAGCCTGGAAAACTGAAGGATGGGAAACTCTTACAATTGGCTCTCAATAGGTTTGTGGTATTTCCTGCACTTGTCTGGCGCAGAAATACAATCTATCTCACAGTATTCTGGCACTGCCAATGTGGAACCTGGCAATACAGAAATATGTAAGAAAAAACCAGTCTTTTCCAATAACAACAAGGGAAACTTTTTTTGAGTTATGATTTTGTTTGAGTTATGATTTAGTTTATTTCTCCATATATTTTGCTCTTTTGCTATCCAGGGGTATTTGTGTCACCTTACATTGCTACCAAATGCTAGCAGCACAGCTGGTATTATGCAAAACCAGTCATATAGCTTGGAGTCCCTTGTCTTCCTTCTGTTCAGTCAGGTAGAGGTGGGAGTATTTTGAAAGGAAGGAATGAGCAGAAAGACAGGAGTGGCCAGGAACACACTACAAAGTGCTTGCCACTTCTCTTTGGCCTTTTAACTCTGCAGTTGGTTTGATTTTTAAGCTTCTATCTCTATTCTCTGATTTCAGGATAAACCATGCCTCACAATCAGGTACATAATGCTCATAATGTCAGTAGTTGTAGTAAAGAATGTGAAGACAGCTTTATTTGCAGGTCACTGATCTACCAGTGTAAGTACTGTAGTAAGTACTGTAGCAAGTACTGTAGATTAAGCTGAAGCAGCTTTCTTGCTGCCCATTATGTAGGTAACAAAATACACAGTATATGTCATGAAGACTACCATTTTATTCTGGAACAGCCCAGCATTAGAAATCCAGGGCACTGCAAATGACCAAGAAACACCTGTCCTAACTTTCACAGGTAAAGCAGCATTATTTATTATTTGGGCAAGCAAACGGTCATCCACTGAATTACATGATTTTTCCATCTTTCCAGATCACGTGGAGAACCCCACCAGAATGACCAGCAATCACACAGACTGTCATTACTGCCTGCAGTCTCTTCGTGGAAGGAAGTATGCATTAAGAGAAGAAAACGCTTATTGTGTTACATGTTATGACAGCCTGTTTGCCAACCCCTGTGAAGAGTGCAAGCAACCTATTGAGTGTGATTCCAAGGTAAAGATTTAGCTTTCACTTCTTGTTCTTTGCTAAATTACACACAAATCCCATTTCTTTAATGACAGATTCTGTATCTGACCCTCTGCATACCCCTGTGCTGGTGAAAAGACCTAAGCAAAGCCGTTGTACATCCATGCACAGCAGGGAAAAACAGTGCTATTTTCCCAGAATAGGAAAGCTCTGGGGCCAAAGATTAGGAAATCTGCACATATGTATACCTCAAACATACGTCACTACTGTGGTGTATGGGTGGACCGCAGATGGACTCCATGCTTCACCTCCAGTCACTCACTAGCTGTGGAGATTGCACAGTGCTTGAGTGACGGTAATTCTGTGCTGGTGTAATTCAGTAGATCAGGCTAAATGAAACTTTGTAATTCCTGAGAGTTGTCTGTTGAAAAAAGTATTTTGAGTATTGGATAAATTACTTTTACTGTAGGTAAAGGCTTGACACGCAGATGTCAAGCTGAAAAAAACCCATGTTTATAATCTGTCTATTATTCCCTCTGTCTTTTGGAAATAAAGTTTATTTTAATTTTAACTTAATTCCATGCTTACCTTGTTCATCTCATAGATGGCATGTGAGAGGCAGCATTTCTGGGCTTGGCTTTCTTTTCACCTCTCCCCTTTTTTAGAATATTAATTAATTATATGAGTTCCTCTGTGGTCTTTGACAGGGTTTCCAGTACCCCATACTTCAATTTAGAGTACACTTGACTTTGGATTTTAAGTTCAGATGAAACCTGTCAAAATGCCTTTGTTTTGCTGAGTTCAGTACATAGTGCTCACCTTCTCCCCATGCTTGCTTTGCCTACATTCTTTTGAAATAAAAGGTCAGAAAGTTATTAAAATAAGCCTCTCAGGAGGCATCCCTGGCCAAAGCACTTCATGGTCTTCAAAGAACATTGTCTGAGTACAGCTCAGTACTATAAAGGAATCATCCAAAGAAATTGCTGACTTGGATGAAGACTCTTCTCAAACTCTCCTGTCGTGGTTTAGCCCCAGCCAGCAACTAAGCACCACGCAGCCACTCGCTCACTCCCCCTACCCCGGGGGGAGAGAATTGGAGGAGTAAGAGTGAGAAACACTCCTGGCTTGAGATAAGAACAGTTTAATAATTGAAAATAAAGTAAAATAGTAATGCTAATAGTAACAGTATAATAATAATAATAATAATAATGATACACGAAGCAAGTGATGCACAATGCAATTGCTCACCACCCACCGACCGATACCCAGACAGTTCCCGAGCAGCGATCGCTGCTCCCCGGCCACCCCCCTCCAGTTTATATACTGAGCATGATGTCATATAGTATGGAATAGCCCTTTGGTCAGTTTGGATCAACTATTCTGGCTGTGCCCCCTCCCAGTTTCTTGTGCGCCTGGCAGAGCATGGGAAGCTGAAAAAGTCCTTGACTAGCATAAGCAGTACTCAGCAACAACTAAAAACATCAGCATGTTATCAACATTCTTCTCCTACTAAATCCAAACCACAGCACTATGCCTGCTGCTAGGAAGAAAATTAACTCTATCCCAGCCGAAACCAGGACACTCTCCTCAGCATTCTTCAACAGCAAACTTGTACACGTAGCTCCAGTCAGGGTCACCTGGAGAACATGAGCTCTGAGCTCACAAATTCCACTTCTAAAATTAAAAATCAAGTGGCAGGACTACCGATGTCAAAGATCATTAACAAAAAGTCATATCTTTGGACTGAGTGGAAGGAAAAACTGGGGGAAAAAAGCAGGAGTAATAAGAAAGGAGTGCAACAGGCCAAAGTCAGCTAGAAAAGTGGCCCACAGAGATCTACAGCTGGTTGTCCCACCTCTGCCAAGGTGCTAGAGCTTGGCACTCTTCCTCGCCTTCTTACTCAGTCTACCTCAGGCTGCTCTGGGGTGATAGCCTATTTTCTGAAAGGTTCAGAGTGCTAACTAACGCAAATGAAAGTGGTAAGCACTCAGCACCTCCTGGAATGAAGCATAGTATGTGTTTCATTTTTAGCACTTTAAAGGGTGGGGATCTGACAAAGGAGAAAAATGAGGCTGGATTTATGTCCTTTTTTACTTTTTACTTATACAGGAGACCTGGAAGGGTCTGGGTTTGGGGGTTTTTTTGCGGGGTGGGGTTGGTGGTGCATTTTTCCCTTGTTCTTTTAACCTTGGAAAAATAAAATCTGCTGTTTGTCCTTTTTTTGAATTCTTAGTTGAGGTCTCATACATATACTGTTAGCTTTTTAATCTCCTAAGCCTGCTGAGTCTTAAACAAACATTTTTCTGCCAAGTTTTTAGAAGGAGTTATATTAGGTGTAAACAAAAGCAATGATTTTTTAATAATCTTGCTAAGAATCATTTTGTTCTCAATGAGATTTTAATTGCTTGTTTTCTGCAATAATATAATCTCTCTTTAGTGTTACGTAGTGTCAGTTGGAAGAAAAAGTAGTTAAATTAAAATATACATGAAGTTTGTTTCAAAGTCTTTAGAGAATGCACTTCTTGTCAGGTGGCCTATGCACATTAAAAAACTTGATCCCTTGTTTCCCCTTGAAGGCCAACTGTAAAATATAAAATGATTCTTCCAATAAAAACATATCTCTGATGTTACATAAGGAAGGACTATTGCCTGTGCCAAAGCAGCTCCTAATAGCCTCTGTGAGAGATCTACAAAATATCCTGACACAGTGACATTGAGTACTTATATCACCTCTGAGCACACCTCCGACCAGATACATGTGTCATCTTTTCAAGTCCCCATTGCAATGTTCTCCATTTTTCACTTTATTTCTGGGAGGAGCTGAGGGATAAAAACACTGTAAAGAAATGTCTTCACTAACATGGACTTACTTTCTCCAAGGATCTGGCCTACAAAGGCCGCCACTGGCATGAAGGGTGCTTCAAATGTGCCAAATGCAGTCGCTCGCTGGTGGAGAAACCATTTGCTGCCAAGGACGAGCTCTTGCTGTGTACTGAATGCTACTCTGATGAGTATTCATCTAAGTGTTTCCACTGCCAGAAGACCATTATGCCTGGTAAGACAACAGCGACCTTTCAGTGAAAAATGGAACTGCATTTTTAATTATAACCACATCCTTGAATAACTGAGCTACAAGGTCCTTGACTTTCAGAACAGCTTTCAGATGACTATTTCTCCTTTGTGTGTAGTACCCTCCCAGCAGTGAAGAGAGGGCAGGCAGATGCCTCTGGTCTAGCACTGACAGGGCTTATGAATCCTTATAAAGAATATTAAGAGTTCAACATAGCGTAAAATGTGTTTATGTTGAGTTCTTGATTCTATTGCAGTTCTTAGGAAGCACATCCTGCTGTGAGTGTAGGTAGACAAACAACTATCATTAGCAGGAGTGCCAGCTTAGACAAGACATCTGCATTTTTGTCTGTCACATTGACCAGACCTTGAGCTCGTGTTCTTTATAGCATTTATTTCACTCAGAACATTTTTTGTTTAAATTGTCAAAACATGACATTCTGTGTTCAGATCATTATCAACATTTTTACTAAAAAGAATACAAGTACATTTGTGTTTACAATAGGTTTACTTCCTGCCATTAGCAACCTTGAAAATTCTGCACTTTCCATGAGACTGCTTCTCAGCTTTTGATCATGTTTGTTCAGGACATCCTCTAGGCCTTTCATTGCTACCACATTTGTAAAGCTCATACAGCAGAGTGATTGCCTAAAAACTGCTTCTTCAGAGACATCTAAGAGAAGCCACAGCACCATAGGTGTCAAAATGAAGTAGCTTGCTTAGGAAAGTGGGTCCCTAACTTTTGGAACAATGAATACCCTCAATGCTTGAACCTTTTTATGGATCACATGTATAATTCCAAATACCAGCTGCAAACTCTCTGCCATGGCCTCATGACTACTAGTTAGGGAACCTTTGGCCAAGGACATCAGTAAATTTGGCAGTGACATAGGAATTTTATTTTCCAGTAGACCTTAATGCCAGACAATAAAGTCTGGGCTGTGGAGAATTATTGCCTTAGTATATGTACTAAGTTACTGATGTCATGGTTCAACCTGTAGTGTTCCCAGAATCATAGAATGGTTTGGGTTGGAAGGGACCATAAAGATCATATAGTTCAACCCCCCTGCCATGGGCAGGGACACCTTCCACTAGACCAAGTTGCTCGAAGCCCCATTCAACCTGGCCTTGAACGCTTCCAGGCATGGGACATCCACAGCTTCTCTGGGCAACCTGTTCCAGTGTTTCACCACCCTCATAGTGGAGAATTTCTTCCTTATATCTCATCTAAATCTACCTCTTTCAGCTTAAAGCCTTTACCCCTTGTCCTATCACTACATGCCTTTGTGAAAAAGTCCCTCTCCAGCTTTCTTGTAGGCCCCCTTCAGGTACAGGAAGGCTGCTGTAAGGTCTCCCTGGTGCCTTCTCTTCTAGAGGCTGAACAACCCCAACTCTCTCAGCCTGTCTTCATAAGGAGAGGTGCTCCAGCCCTCTGATCATCTTTATGGCCCTCCTCTGGACTCACTCCAACAGGTCCATGTCCTTCTCATGTTGGGGGCCTGAGAGATGAATGCAATGCTCTAGGTGGGGTCTCATGAGAGCAGAGCAGAGGGGGAGAATCACCTCCCTCGACCTGCTGGTCGTGCTTCTTTTGATGCAGCCCAGGATACAGCTGGCTTTCTGGGCTGCAACAGTACATTGCCAGGTCATGTTGAGCTTCTCATCAACCAACACCCCCTGGTCCTTCTCCTCAGGGCTCCTCTCAATCCATTCTCCACTCAGCCTGTATTTGTGCTTGGGATTGCCCCAACCCATGTGCAGGACCTTGCACTTGTCCTTGTTGAACTTCATGAGGTTCTCACAGGCCCACCTCTCAAGCCTGGCAGGGTCCCTCTGGATGTCATCCCTTCTCCACAGTGCGTTGACCACACCACACAGTTTGGTGTCCAGCAAACTTGATGAGTGTGCACTCAATCCCACTGTCCATGTCACCAACAAAGATGTTAAAAAATGCCAATCCCAATACTGACCCCTGAGGAACACCAGTCGTCAGTGGTCTCCACTCGGACATCGGGCCGTTGACCACAACTCCTTGAGTGCCACCATCCAGCCAATTCCTCATCCACCAAGTGGTCCATCCATCAAATCCATGACTCTCCAATTTAGAGACAAGGGTGTCCCGAGGGACAGTGTCAATGCTTTGCACAAGTCCAGGTAGATGACGTCAGTTGCTCTTCCCTTATCCACCAACACTGTAACCCCATCATAGAAGGCCACCAAATTTGTCAGGTCTGATTTGCCCTTAGTGAAACCATGTTGGCTGTCACCAGTCATAGAATCATAGAATCATAGAATCATAGAATCGTTTACG